TATTATTAAACCAAATATAAATTATTTCGTTATTGTACATAAATTAAATTATAAAAAAATTGAATTAAAAATTTACACAAAAAAATTAGGAATTTCAAATAGTTAATTTGATACTAATATCGATATATTTTTGTCAAAATTTTATRATATCTTCAAACATATATTTCATTCAAAAATAAAAACATTATCGCTTTCTCAAAATCACATAAAKYCATATTATAATATCGACTGAGATAAAGAAGAAAATGAAATATTAAAATCATGATGTATCTCGCTGCATTGCGCGAGTACGCTTCTAGTATATAATATATATATATATATATATATATATAATTTATTAATTAATATATATATAACAGGTACGGAGCGGGACGGGGAGTACCATACCTGTCCCCGTCCCCATCCCTGGTTTGAGACAAACGGGGATCCCCCTCCCCGTCCCCATCCCCATCCCCGATTTAGCAGGGAATCCCCGTCCCCGATCGGGGCGGGTGGACCGGGTTCCCTGACGGGTCGGGGCCTATTCTCATGCCTAGATGAGTTTAAGCCCAAATTAGACTGCAAGTGGCGGTTAGGGGCCTTTTTCGGTTGAAATCCAGTAGATGGATTTGATTTGATCCACTCGTCTATTGGATGTTGGATTTCTTATCGATCCAATCAGATCCAATGGATGATTGGATCGGATCGGTTCCAACCATTGGATATTATTATTGGTTATCTGTTGGAGCAGACTGGATTCATTCAATACTTTGATCAAATTTTCAACCAATTAGTCAACCACTGCAACTAATTATTCATATTTTTTTTAAAATTCTTAAAAAACAATGGATATAAAATGTTAATAAATATACATCGTTATTAACTGGATGATCATCGGATTAGATCGATTATATTCTATTGGATGTTGGATTGCTATCTAAGAACCAACAAATCTAATTTGGATGTTGAAAATTTTGATCCGGTCCAATACAATTACAATTGGATATCCGATCATGGTCTGTCGATTAATCATTTCAAAGTGGATTGAATGACTTTTTTTTTACACATTCATAATGGCATCATCAGAGTTTTTTAAACCGTAAAATATGAAATAAAGGGTATATTTATATATACAAGTAGTCCGGTCGATTTTAGATCGCCGACTCTACAAAATAAAGAGACTTTACTGACGGATTTTTCCATTAAGTACTTTCAACAGATTTGTGGCGAATCACCGACGGATTATTGACGGATTTTTCTGTCAGTGATTGTCATTCCGCCGGTAATTACGGTCACCAGCCACATTTTATCCGACGATGAGATCTGCCAGTGATGGATTTTCTCGACGAACTACCGACAAATTTTTCTGTCAGTGAATCCTCTTTATTTTGTAGTGTAAAAGGCCGCTTAAACCGCATAGCGACCCCATTACCAATTTATCATTAATAAATGAGTTTGATGATTTTGTTTAAGGAATTAGAATATAGTACGCCATCTGTAAAATATATGGATAATCTGAATAAAAATTAAAGAATTAAAATATAGTACGTCATTTGTAAAATAAATGAGTAATCTGAATAAATCGACAACATTTAGATATTAAGTGATCAATAAAGAAGATTATGCCTCGATCAATTATATATCCTTGGTACAATTTTGAGTACGAATCCATTATTCATATGATAAACGACTGTTTTTGTATTTGTACTTTGAAACCTCAGGTTTGAGAAAGACTTGTGATTATCTGAGAATTTTTCTTTCTCGTGGGACAACCATCTAAATGATTTTTTTTTTATCACAAGGCTGTATAATGCGATGCCATTTTCATAATTAAGTGAAATATCGGTGACACTGTTTTAAGGGACACATATTTTAACATGAAAATCACTGATGTGCACATACCTTCACTAACCATCACAGACCTACAAATACCTTCACCAGGACCGTCCCTTAGCATGTTAAATGTGAGATTTTGAACATGACCCCCGAAATTTTGGGGCCCAAACTTACTTGTGTTTAGTGTCTTTTTTATTGACCTATGTAAAATTATAGTCGGAATTATTTAGGTTCAAATTATTAATCGTTTGGTTTTAGGTTCAAATTATTAATGGTTTAGGTTTTGGTTCAGATTGTTAATCGTTTTAGGTTTAGCCCATTTTTGTTCTTAACATATATTCTCTGTTATCTCATTTATACAATGCAATCAAAAGTTTTAGATGTAACAGAGCCTCTAAAAAGTTGGAACGTCCCTGACCTTCCTATACATCAAGATAGATCGTGTCCGGATGCAAAAAACCAAATGACGAAAGTACCCCTCCGCTACAAAACATGCGTGATCATCCCTGCTGGATCGAAAAAATGATCGACAGTTCTGAATACATTTTTACGGTTCTCACAAAAGTAAAAAATTATCATCAAAACCCCAGTTTAATTTAATAATTATTAAATAAATATACATCAATAAATACTCCAATAATGTAGCAACAAAGGCTATATTTTCTTTTAAATCATTTATAAGCATCAATAATTATGTGTATAATCAACTATTTATTCTTGAGCTTTAAACATGTAATAATTAATAATCAATTACAAAATACATTAACATTTGATGATATATTGTATGAGGGAATTAATTAAAGGCCAGAAGTGTAGGCCACACCGGTCGCCGGCAACCAAGATCCGCCGGCGATGAAGCTCCCGACGGTGAACTTTCCGGCCTCCGCCGCACTAGTGATCACACGGTACCCTTTCCAATTAACCCGATTCGCGGTTGATGAACCCGGGCCTGTATTCATGTACTCGCCATAATACAAAGTATCGAGCGCGAAATTTCCGCTCCACGGCATCCAACCCGCCGGGTTCACGATACCGTCAAGATACGTTTTGAGATAAACGGTCCTTGAATACTGCTTCCATGGTCTCCCGAGAAACGTTTTAACCCCACTTAAGCTCGAGACACCCGTGACACGACAATTATGGATCGATATTCCCGTGTTCTGGTTCGGATCGGTCCGCCCTTGTGCGGTCAACGTGTTGGTCTTGTTAGGAGGGTCACGGGCATAAATGTTGCAGCTCTGAAGGACCACGGCCGCGTTGCCAAAGATGAAATCAACGGTGCCATAAATGTCACATTGTCTATAGAACTGTCGGTTCGAGAGAGCATAGAGCGTATCTTGGTAGCCTTCGAAGCTACATTGGTAGAACACCGAAAGATCAGAGCCACTACGCAACGCCACCGCTTGTTGGTTTTGTGGCCCGGCCGTGTTTCTAATCGTGATGCCACGACCAATAAATCCATCTCCATCCACAGCTGAAATATCGGAAGGTAAATTCACTAATAAGAATACCTTATTTCAAAACTGTTCTAAAAAACTTATTAAGACACCCAAATACGTAACTGTATCATAACACTTTTATGTATACGACACACAACTGTTTGATTATATAAACTTCAGTCCTATAAAGCAATATATTTAATCATTTAGACATTTTGAACGTCCTATTAAGTCAAATAAAAAAATCTTAATTGTGCTTACCAAAAGTAAAATCTTAATTGTGCTTACCAAAAGTGGCTGAATTGAAAGAGGTAGAACCACCACCAACACTCTTACTACCAGTTATGATAGTTTTCCCAATACCATCTCCAATTATCATTAAGTTCTTCAATCCAGATCCAATCTGCACATATTCATTATAAGTCCCAGCCTTCACATATATCACATACCTCCCACCGCCCGATTTCGCGGCCGCCACCGCGGCTCCGATCGTCTTATAGTTCCCAGAACCGTCTTGAGCCACCACGGAGTTCGCCTGAGAACCCGGATTCGAAGACTGTAAGAGCTTCCGATCACCGGGTTTCACCCAACTAGGGAACCCATTCGGGTAAGTCTCCGGCGGAGATCCGCCTTTGTTCATCGCCAACGTGTTGCTGATCAAAGCCGACACATTATTCTTCATTAGCGGCAACAAGTAGCCGCCAACGCCGAGCTCCTCGAACCCAGCCCGACACGTCTCGAGATTAGTGAGGGCTGTGCTGAGCCACGTTTGCATCTCGTTCTGGCTACACTTCCGGTTCGGATCGACCGTCATGTTGATCCTCCACACCGTGTTTTCGTAAAGCTCCAAACAGTCTTTCCATGCGGCCTTTTCGAGGTTGTTCCGGCATTTCGCACCGAGCCCACGAGTGTTCGACTCGGCGTCTGCAGCTCGTTCAAGGGTAACCTTCACTAACGCCTTGATGAAGTCCGGTTTTTGGCTCAGCGGACCGTAGTTCGGCTTACCGGCCAAGACGCTCTCACAAGACTCCGGATGAGGTGTTTGACTGCACCATGATCTAATCTCAGATATGGAGTAGCCAAACACCCCTGGAGAGATGAGAAGGAATAGGCAAGATATCAGGGTTACTAAAAATGGAAAGATTGGCATCTCAGATAGAAATAAGAGGGAGGTTTTAGAGATGGTTTTTGTTGTGGGAAGTTGCATGCAAAGGGGTTTGGTTTATATACAAGTGGAATCTAACCCAGGGGTGCACCCCACCGGCCCACCTGGTCACATTCATCAACTGGTCTGGTCTAAAACAAGCTATGGCTACTTCCCCACCCAACTAATATTCAACTTATCAAAATCCAACCACAAACAACAGTTTATAACAAAATCAGTTTTATAGAACGTCATAAATGTTTAAATGTCCTTAGAAAATACTGTTTTATCAGTTCTTTTAATAAATAAACCATTGAATTTTCTAGATTTTGGTTGCATACATCATTTTAACCCAAAAAAGTAACCGTAATTGGCTAGGAACGTTTCAAATTAAAAAAAAAAAAAACTGAAATCAGTTTTATCGTTCTCAAACTTTACAGCGTTCAATTCTCTCACACCCGACAAAATCGCTCCCCTCACTGTCCCATCCTTATCCACCGTCCATCACCATTGTTGTCCCCTGTCACCGATCTCCCTCTTTTTTATCTTTCGGTTCTCCTTTTTTATCTGTTTTTACAAGACACTTACTGTCATACAAAAACTAATAGGCCGTTTATCAAACGCTTAACCGGGTAAGCGCTTACCAAATCACATTACCTTGCCGGGTGAATATGATAAGGACCAAGAATCTTACCCGGCAAGAGCGAGACAAGGACCAAGAGTCTTACCCAGTAAGTGAGGGCGACGACTCTTACGATGGTAAGCGCTTACCGGGTAAATTGTTGCATACGACATTGTTTTGTTAGACTAAAATCTTACCCGGTAAGTAAATGATAGTGTTAAATTTTACCCGTAAGTGTTTGGTAAACGGCTCCTAACAAATGTTTTGTAGCATATGTAAACATAGACCCTATTAAACAGTCAGTTAAAACACTTTGAGATAATACATCATCTGTATTATATACGTGTTTACTTGTTTACGTATTAATTTACGATAAACGAGTAACTGCGTGCATAAGTACGAGATGCTATAGAATTATTGGACAAGGATGGTCTAGAAATAGGCTTTTTGCACGACGGTTCTTTTTTCAAAAGGTTTGGTAGAAATTTAAAGCTTGGTAGTTCAACGTATTCATAAATATAATCGATTGGTCAATCAGGGAAAAAGAAGACATTTAAAGTAATTGACGATTATGTGTCAGCTTGTTAATAAACAGATAACGAAAGTTTTAACACAAAATAAGTTAGAAACAAGGACTACCAATATTTTAGCAGAAATTATTTACTAGCTGATTCATTTATAGGTCTAGAGCGGACACGAGTTAGGCGTAACATACATGGTTTGTCCATTACACCTAATATAATAAAACATAACACGTTTTACAAGCTTGATAACTGAAATAACTCATCAAATAAACGGGTTGGACTTGCTCACAGGTAACGTATCTGAATATGCATTCAAAAAAGTTATATAAAATAATGTTATGTAACATCATTCCAAATGATATACTTTTTTTTTAACTTAAAATAAGACTTAGGGGCCGTTTACCTAATTGTTTATCTGGTAAGCGCTTACCGATAGGAGTCAACATTATGATTTATTTTGACGCGTAAGACTTTTAGTATATCAAAACACATCGAATACAACAATTTAGTGGGTAAGCGCTTACCTGGGTAAGAGTCATCATCCTCACATACCGGGTAAGACTCTACATCATTCTCATCGCTCTTACCAGGTAAGATTCTTGACCCTTCTCATGTTCATCCGATGAGGAAATTTATCCGGTAAGTACTTACCAAGCAAGTGTTTAGTAAACGGCTCCTTACAAACATAATAGCGCACAAAGCATAAGAAAAGAAATCAAAAAAAAGTTTACCGATCTCCAAAGTCTGTATTTTTCAGCAATCAAATACTTCATTATCTTATGTTTCAAGATCGACATTTAAAACGTACTATATGACATGTTTCATATAATATATATTGAGTAAATTACGTCTTTCGTCCTTGTAGTTTGTTGAAAATTGCGATTTCTTTTCTCTATGACACTACAACAAAATTAGATTTATAGGAAGTCACCAATAAATAAGTGTCTTAATAGACTACTTTATAAGACATAATTTATATAACCAAAAAATAAAGTGTCTCTAAAGGCGTTGTAATAAGTTTATAGGATGTTTTGGGCGTGGTAACAAGTTTGTTAGGACACTTTTATATAAAAAAGAGGTCATATTAGCTATTTTATATGTCACTATTGAAAAAATGTCCTATAAACACAAATTAAATATCCTATAAAAGATGGGTTTATAAGATACTTTCTCAAAATTGTCCTATAAAATAGGTATGCGACATTTTGTTTAAGTGCCCTAAAAACCTTATTAAGAAGTTCAAAGACGTCCTATAAACTTATTACAACGCCTTTAGATAGAATACATTATTTATGTAAGCCTAATTTTGTTGTAGTGTGATTTAGAAATTCTGGTTTTTTTCCCGATGGCTTGTAATTCATTACTATTTTCATATTTATGATTTATAATTATTGTTTTTTCAGTCTTTATGGTTTACAATTCTTTATTGTTTTGATCTCATGTACTTAAAGATAAAAATTAGTTAAAAAAAAAATAATAAAATTATAAAACCATATAAATAAAAATCGTAATTTCTAAACCATACAAAGAAAAATCAAAATTATTAATAAATCACATGTCCCCAAAACTCCAAATTTAATCATTTATATTTGATAAGCGACCAAAAGTCAACCAAATGAGCTTTTTAAAGTCTTCTTAATAAAAATAATAATAATAATAAAGTTTAATTGTATAAAAAAATTAATTAATTATAAAAATATAAATGAGTAGAAAGAAAATATATATAAAAATAGAGGTGAAGTTGGGTATGGTCTCAATTTTTTATGTATCAATTATAACTGATATGTATTGTCTTATACAGTATACCAACGAAATGTTTGGTACCAGTTTAACTGGTACCAACTTTTTTCGGTTGGTACATGTTAGTGGTATTGTACTAACTTTAATTTACTATATGAATTTTTTTTCATTTTGTTCAAATCTTCAAGTGATGTTTTGAGTTTTCAGTACATATGTGATGTTTAAGGGTTTTTAATTGTAAGAAATAATACTTGTAAGGGTTCAAATGTTCAGACAGATAAACGAGGTTAAAATTATCATTTTTAATATTCAATACATAAAAAATACTATTTATACTATATTATAAAGCATTTGACAAAAAACTCTTAAAAACCATTTTTTAT